TCTTACATATCTATAATATATAATACCATTAATATATCCCATACAGATGATGTCAAAGCACGAAATTCAGAAGTGACCAATTTTAAGTCCTGAACTGAGTCTTGGGAAAAAACACAGACCATCACCCACCTGTGGCACTGGAGGAAGCTGCCCACGGGAATAGCTGGGCAAAGAGCAAGCTCTGCACAGCCTGGAAGGGGCCCTCCAGCGGGGTCCTAGTCTCAGGGCAGAGAAGAATAAGGCACAGGAGGCTGCTGGTCAGCACAGAAGAAGCGTGGAAAATTCCAAGTGGGAGAAGCCTGGAAATCCCAGGGAGACCTGAGCAGAAAACAGTGTAAAGGGTCTCACATTGGCTATTATTAGCTGGCTTGCCTGGTTCCTGCCTCTCTGACCGCCCCCTGAGCTCTGTGCTTCTTCCAGAAGAGATCTGTTTGTTCTTTGGCTGTCCATGTACTGTGGATATTCTTTGCCAACACCGTAGTTCAAACGCACCGACTTTTCTTTGGTCTTCCTTATTCAAGGTCCGACATTCACAGGCATATGAGAAAGTGGATTTCCCATGGCTTGGGCCAGGCACACACTAGTCCTCTAAGTGACCCCCTTGCTGTAGCACACTTTAAAGAGTCCATGGGCAGCCGCTTTGCCGAACGCCATGGGTCTTTCCTCTGTGGACTGCGGCTCCCACGAGCACTGACTGCGGCTCCGAACAAGACAAAGTCCTTGACAACGTCCACCCTGTCTCCTTCTATCGTGATGCTGTTGGTTCCGTTATGGGATTTTCACTGTCTTCACATTGACTTGTCCTCCACACTGACGGCCGCCGTCCCTGATCTTCCTCAGCAAGTACTCATGTCCTCTCGCCGTCAGCAAGCAAGATTGGGTCATCGGTGTATCGAAACCTATTCATAAGTCTTCTAATGTGGAAACCAAATTCTTCTTCATATACTCCAGCGTCTCTGAGTATTTGCTCAGCATACAGATTGAACAAATATGCGGTGAGGATGCATCGTTGACAAACAGCTTTTCTGATCTTAAACCATGCCATGTTCCCTTGTTCTGGTGTGCTCTTGATCCATGCACTGTGGCCCCATGAACACACTGTCCTGTTGTGGGATTCCCTTTCTTCTCAGGCTGCCTAGAGTCTGTTCTGATCCACACGGTCGAGTGTCATTGTATAGTCAATGAAACACAAGCAGACAGCTTTCTGGTATTCTCTGCTTTCAGTTGACTTAAAGCACAAGGAGAGCTTAACCTTGGACCTGCTCTACACTGTTCAAGTTGGGTCTAAAATGGGAGGGAGACAGGGATGCATTCAAGTCTTCCCTCCCAAAAAGGTCTCCCCTCGGT